ATATTATGTTTCTCTTTTTTTGTTATTTTTTATTTTCATTTTGTATTATATTGTATATTTTTTTATATATATCTTTTCTATTCTTTTAACCCTTTTTATTACTTTTTCTTTCAAATATTAGTATTTTCCAAACAAAATTGGGTTACTACAATTTTTAATAAAAATTAATAAAAAAAAATTAGTATATTTCTCCCAGAAAAACTGGTATTATTAACATAAAATGGTGTTACCTTTACAATAAATATTATAAAGAATAATAAAATATTTTGTAAAAAATAAAAATAAATAAACAATAACAATTATTTCCATAATCTAACACTCATGTAAAAATAATTTTAACATTAAAATATTATATACTGTTTTTTTTTGTACGGATCGGAATTTAAAATATTATATACTTTTAAAAATATAGAATTTAAAGGCCCCCCACCTATTAACCTACGTCCGTCCGTGCATATAGTCATGTGATTAATTAATTTTTTTAAAACAATGTTTTTTTAGTAATAATTGTTTTAAAAAAAATTATGACAGACATTTATTGGTTTTTTATTATTTACATATTGATTTTTTTTTGCTTGCAAAAAAATGAGATAATATACGTAATATCTTTTATCAATATTTTTATTATTATGCCACATTGTTTGAAATAAATAAATTTGAATTTGTCAAATTTTTGGCTATTTATATGGGATTTTTTTTTTGCCACCATATTTTTATAGTGAGAAATATTCACTATCATTAGATGTAATTAAAAATTATTTTTATAAACTTGTAATTCATTAATGATACTATGCTTTGTAGATTTAAGTACATAGTGTAAAATTATTTTATAAAGATTTTTTTTTATAAATGATTTATGATATTTTTATATAATTAAAAAGATATTTAATATTTCATTACTTTGTTTGACCTGCCTCTTGCCCAAAACACTTGAATTTATAAGTTCAGATAGCTTTTGTTGATTTATGTTATTTACTTGTAATGCCCCTTTTCTTTTCTAGCATGACCTTTAATTCGGAGTGTGCAAATTTACATGATCAGTCATTTCTTGTTTGTTTTTGAAACACATTAACTATATAGCCACATAACTTTTATTCATATGTAACAGAATTCCATTATACATTTCATCACCTAGTAGCTTCCAACATCTCTCATAACTTATGTGAATTATCATATTCATTAGTTTAGTGGTAGAAGCAAAGTATGGTAGTCCAATATATTGATTCAATATTTGTGCAATTTTAAGTATATAACTACACTCTTTTCTTTTCTTTTTTTTCTTTTTCTATTAACTAATTTTATAGAAGGACTCATGGACCGCGGAGGAAGACCTGATTTTGATCGAAGCCCATCAGGAATTTGGAAACAAATGGTCAGAGATTGCAAAGAGATTGCCTGGTAGGAGTGAGAACACAGTCAAGAACCATTGGAACACCACCAAGCGGAGCCGAAACTGCAAGAGGCACAAGAAGAACAAGAACGTAACTTATGAAGCGTCACTGCTCCATACCTATGTCAAAAGGGTCACTGCTACTGAAGAAGCTTCAGAAAGGCTCAAGAAAACCCCAAGCCAGAAGAATAAGGTGATGACATGCAATTGTGATGAGCTAGCTCTTTTGTTGAGCTGTGATAACTTCTCACATGCTGTGTTCAATGGAAACTATGTGCCGATGCAAGTCAATAATAATGATGGTGGTGGTGGAAACATTGGCTACGGTGCAATGGCAAAGGATTTGAATCATTTGATGGTGGAGAGGGAAATGAATATCGGACATGTGTAAATGACTAAATGGTTATATGGGGGACTGCGTGTAGTTTGATCCATATTGTACTTTGTTCCTTTTATTCCGTGGCGGTGTTCCTTTTGTTGGACTTTAGCTATGAAATAGTTTAAGGTAGGATTGTGGACATTTTGAGACATCATCTATGTTTGTATGTTTTGTTATGTTTAATTGTGATTTAATTTTGTGGTGAAGTAGAGTTGAGGATTAAGCTTCTCGTCACAATGTAGTATATAGTTCCATCGGTAATGACACCAAACTTTAGTGGTGAAACTTGTAATGACTCATGATATTTAAGTTAGTATGAGTTAGGTGTATCTTAGAAAGAGAGTGAAAGTGTACCTTAGTGTATAAGTCCCGTTTATATAGCGTTATTTGAGCGGAAAATTTGTTACGTTAGTTGTGTCACGTGGTCCTTGTTATCATTGATTTATGTCTCAAGGGTTAAGTGTATTGCTTTTGATGTAAAACCTTAGTTTGGTTTTATCTAGGCCTTATTTTAGGTATAACCTGAATTAGTTATATTTTTAAAGAAGTATAAGTCACACGAACCTCTAAAATAGTTGCCTCCAAACTAGATATTACTTTGTAAAAGTAATGCCAACTTAGGAGTTATAAATTCCGTGATATTTTTATTGGAATAAAGAACTGTGGTTAAAAATTCTACGTGCCAAGGTAGATTCTTGTAGAGTTTGTAGATTTTTGTAAAGTTTTCTCAATGGTATATTTATTACACGTGTTACAGTCGAAACACCGGAATAAGAGGGATCCAGAGATTGTATAAGGGTGAAATTGTATAGTTAATGATGACTTAAAAGAATTAAATTGTATTACCTATATTAACAAGAAGCATATATTTTTCTGTAGCTTATTTTGTAAGAACTCTACAGTTAAGCATGCTTATCTTGGAGTAATTTAGGGATGGGTGATCCTCTTGGGCAGTTTCCCAGAAAGCGTGTGAGTGAGGACAAAGCATGCTGAAAAGTCTTGTGTTGGTTTATAAGATCAGTTGTTGATCCTAAAAGCAGATGAACATCTAAGAAAGGGTTACCCATAGAGGTTTCCGATCGGTGAATGGTTCTAACTAATGAGAAGTTGTGTAAAGTTTCACCGTATGAAGTGTCGTGGAGTGGAGCCTGGTAGGCTTGTAACAGCCCGAACGCACTAGAATGAAAGAGATCTAAAGATTGTATAAGTGTGTGATTGTATAGTTGAAGATTTTTTAAAGAAATTAATATTTGTACTACCTATATTAATAATATGCATCTACTTTTTGACAGTTTATTTCTTAAGAACTCTATAGCTATAAAGATAAAAAAAAAATTTGATATTAGCCAACTATATATGTTAATTCTGAAGCCTTTCTTTTTAAAAATTTATAAACAATTTTTTCATGTCTTTGACACAACCTTTCATTAGTTTCAATTTTAGATGACAAAATTCTATATATATAAAAAAATATGGTTACAAACTTGACTTAAAATTGGCTTAATTGCCCCTACTTTAAAAATATAAAACTTGAAATTGATTATGATGTCACTCAAGGTCCTTTTGTTGACATATACTTTGTTAGTTACATCTACGAAAACAATGATGAAATTTTATTTATATCTCTTTTATCACATTTGATTTGGTTCTTTCTTAAAATGTATTATAACTAAAAGTGATGTTTTTTCTCAATTCAAAGAATTTAAAACAAATATACTAAACTTTTTCAAATAAGAGAATTGTCAAGGATGATGAAAGAGTGAAAAAAATGAAAAAATAATTTGATGATAGCCAACTATATATGTTAATTCTTAAGCCTTTTTTTTTTAATTTATAAAAATTATTTTAATGGATTAAACACTCAACCTTTAATTAGTGTCGCTTTTCAATAATACAATGGTAAAAGAGACAAAAGAAATAGGATTAAAATCTTGACTCAAAACTGAACTAGTTGTTTCTCTTTTTTAAAATGTAAAACACAAAACAGGATATCAATTATAATGTCTTTCAAGGTCCTTTTTGTGGGTCTATAGTTAGTTAATTACATTATTATGAAAACAATGATGAAATTTTATATTTATTTTGCTATATTTGGATTCATTCTTTTTTAAAAAGTTTTTAAACTTTCCATGCTTTCTTTTCTCAATTGGAAGTATCAAACTAGGGCAAATATATTGTACTTTTTCATACAAGATAACTTGGTGAGGAAGATGATAAAGCGAAAATAAAATAATTTGAGGTTAGCTAACTATATATGTTAATTCTCTATCCTTTATTTTCAAAATTTATAAACAAATTTTTTATGGCTTTAATATATAACCTTTAATTAGTTTCAATATTCAATAACATGATACTATAAGATACTAAAGTTATGGTTACAAATGCGTCTCAAAATTCACATAGTTGGATCTCTTTCAAAAATATAAAATTCAAAATTGATTATGATGTGACTCAATGTCCTTTTATTGGCATATACTTTGGTTGTTTACAATAGTACGCAAACAATGATGAAGTTTTATGTTTTTAATCATATTCTGTTTGGTTGTTTTATAAAAAGCCTTCTAACTTTTTGTAAAATGTGATGCTTTTTCTTTATTGAAAGTATCAAAAGCAAATATATTGTACTTTTTATATCAAAGAATTTGACAATGACGACAATAAATGAAAAATAAAAAAATTTGATGTTAGCCAGTTATATATGTTAATTCTCAAGCTTATTTTTTTTTAAGATATACAAATATTTTAAGGCTATTACAACCTTTAATTAATTTCAATTTTCAAAGCACAATGCTAAAAGAGATAAAATATATGATTACAGACTTGACGTAAAATTCATTTGGGTCTCTTTTAAAACAAAATACAAAATTGGCTATAATGTCATTGAATGTCCTTTTCATGGTATATACTTGATTAGTTACACAGTTACAAAAACAATAATGGAACTTTATAGTCTATTTGTTTCCTTTTTAAAAGGTCTTCTAACTTTTTGTAGAATATGATACCTTTTCACAATCAAAAGTATCAAAAGTAAATGTATTATGCTTTCTTCATATAAGAGAATTTGACAATGATGACGATGCACTAAGAAATAAAAGAATTTCATGTTAGCTATTATAATCTTAGCTTAAAACTCACTTGGCTCTCTTTTTAAAAACAAAAAATATGAAAGATTATGATGTCATTCAAGGTCCTTTTGGTAGTATATACTTTGTAAGTTACACCACTATGAAAACAATGATGAAACATTGTATGTTTTACCATTTAGGTTTGATTTTTTCTTAAAAAGTCTTCTAACTTTCCATAAAAAGTGACTTTTTATGCTAAACAAAAGTAAATATATTATACTTTTTTTAAATAAGAGAATTTGTCAAGGATGATGACAAAGTAAGACCCAACCTCAAACCACATATTCCTCACAAAATTCCATTCTCATCCCACCATCACCACTACCAATGTTGTTCGAATCCTACAATACTTTTTACCATTTTCAAGAACAAGCTATGACTATGTCTACCCACAACATTGCCTTGGTGACAGAAGGTCCTTTTTCCACCAACATCCCAACTCCCTTGTATGGGAAGATACCAACCCTTTCTTTGAGTGATGGTTCTTTACTAAGATGAAGATTTGCTAACATTCATTGTCACCTCCTTAGATACTACCACCAAACCATAACAATAAAGATGTTTTGCATGACAATCATCACAAAGGGAAAGTCATATGGGATTTTTTTTTACAGAAAACAATGGTTCATCCATTTGAAGGTTCTTCATCCAATTCACCATCACCTCTTTCTAGTGAGTCTGAATTAGTGATGAGTGATTATCATTGGGACATTGATCAAAGGAAGAAAAATGTAAAGGTGAAAATAGGTACCAACAATGATAACATAATCAAAGGGTAGTGGACTCTAGAAGAGGATAGGTATATATGTGTGGACTTGTTTGTGAACACAGTTTCCTATTCTCTTCCTTTTCATTTTTTTTTCACTACAAAAAAAATCGTGACCAACTTTAGTAATGAAAACCACTTTTTTCTATTTAATTATCGAAATAAAAAAATAGTGACAATTATTATAAAATTATTTTAAAATTTTTCTCACTATTTTTAATTTTTATAGTATTTTTTTAATTCTATGCAATTTACATTGATTTTAGTGTATTGAAAAGTTATCTTTGGTTTATTTCAGTACAAGAATGTTTTATGTTTAAAATGACAAAAATTTATTTAATCTAAGTTTATGATCTTTGTAGTGCACTTTTGGAGTTGGTGAATCAATTAGGGTATAAGAAATGGTCGCAAATAACAAAGTCACTAAGTAGAAAAATCAATTCTGAGTTTAATTAAAAATAAGTTTATATTTCACATTTACATGAGCTAAGAAATCTTATAGCACAATCAAAATCAAGAGTAAAAAAGTTTTAGGAAAATCCTTTTTTAATAAGCAACTCAAATCATATCTAGTGAATATATAAGTATAACATGCATCCTTTGTTAATCACCACATAGGCCAAGGTAATGCACTATCCTGTTAATCACCACACAGGCCAAGGCAATTATTGTTGGGATTCAAACAAGTCCCACATCGATAAAATAATACAACAAATAACAACTTATATAATACAAACATACTTCAATGATAGAGAGGCCTTTTGGGTGATGACCAAAAGTAAAACCGTGAGGGCTAAGGCCCAAAGCGGACAATATCCCATCATTGTGGAGTATGTTTGTAATAAAATTATAAAAAATAACACTCATAAAATATCCTCTCAGACAAGTACCATAAAATAACCCCAATAGTGGTATCAGAGCCGCAGGTTGGATTCGATGACAACCAATAACATATAATAACTCATAACATATAATGTGCCATATAAAGACAGATTCCGCTGCATGAAAGGTTGGAGGTCCCTTGTTTGAGAGGAGGATTGTTGGGATTCAAACAAGTCCCACATTGATAAAATAATACAACAAATAAAAACTTATATAATACAAACATACTTCAATGATAGAGAGGCCTTTTGGGTGATGACCAAAAGCAAAATCGTGAGGGCTAAGGCCCAAAGCGGACAATATCTCATCATTGTGGAGTATGTTTGTAATAAAATTATAAAAAATATTCTCTCAGACAA